GTCATTGCTTTGATATTGACGTCGTTCGCGTCGCTTTCCATTAGCATGACATCAATGAAGTCCTGCTGCTGCATGCTTGCTTGCGATTTTCCCAATTTTTCTCGATGCCAATCAATTTCGCTCTGCAGGATCTTGTCAACACGCTTGTGCACAGTAGCCAGTTTGTACACTTGCTTGTCGACCCACTTGAGCCACGGAAAGAAAGTTGCAATATGCATTCCAGTGCCTTCTCGAACGAATTCCATGAGACCTTCCTTAACGCTACGCGCTTGCTCCTCTTCATCTCTGCTGCTTGCGCTGCTGGAGTGGCTCTTGCCTGTGACCTTCTTGAGCATTACGTTGAAGGCGAAGTCGGAGAGTCTGTTGGTCAAGTTCACAACAGCACCATCTTCAGCACATTTTCTCAGGTCTGCAAGCAAAAGACCCATTTCCATTTTTCGATTTGGTTCAGCAGATTCAACTCTTTTTGTTGACAACAGTTGTACTGTGCAGAGCTTCCTGGCTTGTCTCCAATGCTCACCATACTGTGCAAAGATGATACCTCGTCCACCATAGCTAGCATACTTTGCTTCCAGATGCTCGGGCTTCATTGCAAACTCAGGATCGAGAGTCTTGAGAACAATTTTGGCAGCATCTGGTGAAGAGACAACAAGGGTGTTCAGGCTTCCAAGCTTAAGAAACATGAACTCTCCATACTTCTTGGACAGCTCTAGCATGGAGTGATGGGGAAGATTTCCTATCAAGTGAAGATGGCTAATGACAGGAAGAGCTGGCGGAGATGGGGGGAGGCTGAATTGCTGCTTGCTTCTTGGAAAAGGATTCAGAATGAAGCAGAAGAGGGAAACAATGAAGGCGACCAAAGGCAATTCAAGCAGTAAAGAATCCATTGAGCTCCTTTCGTGACCTTGATGGTGCAGGAAAAAACAGAGACCAGTATATTTAAACAAACATTGGATTCACAGACACCTACTATGGTACTGAGGTTGTTGGCTCACTCTTGACTTTGTGAAGCCCAAACAAGCTCCAGCCGTTGTCAGATGTTATAGTCAAGGCAAAGTCAACTGGCAGCTGAAACCAAAAATTTATCATTTTCATGTTTTGTTTTATTTATTATTTTGTTTATGTTAATTTGCATGTCATAATTGTTGTTGAAGGATGGCATGTAATTTGTAAAGCAATTTATAATGAAGGACAACCTAGTAAAAATAAAGACACCAACTCAAAAACTAAAAACAACCAGGTCAATAAAATACAATCGAATGCAATTGAAACCATGTGGCAGTTTGCAATTGAGGATAGTTATTTGATTTCCAACAGCAGGTGATGATGGGCAGGTTGAGACTTGCAATGCATGTCACGATGAGAGAGGGTGGGTGGACAGTAGTAAGGCAACAACAGGCTGCAACTCAGCCAAAGGATTGGGTAGAGGTAAGTCCTTTCCTTGTTTAATTGCATAAGGATCCCCATGCATCTCCATACATAAAACTTGCTTGGCTGGGAACACAGGTGAGATGGGTAGACAGGGAGGAAAGAGGAGGTAAACAATCATAACTATTGAAGAGCCACTATATTGAATGTAATGGGAATTCAAAGAGCCTGAAACAGCCAAGTAAATTGAGTTTCCTCTTGTGATTGTAGCCATACCTAACTTTGCTGTTCATGCAACACACCTGCTTCTTCATCTACAAATCATCAACCACTGCTTTTTTCTAAAGCTAGCAGGGTTTTTGGTATTCCAATAGTTCCAGGTTGGTACTCTAGTGGTTCTAAGTATGGCAGACTTTAGGAATTTTTTCAGCATGTTTCCCAACTAGTTGTATCTGTTCATGCTACTAGAGCATCAAGCATGCAACAATAAAGGACTTGTTATGACTGAGCTACTAGTTGCAATGGTCACAGATGAAATGCTGATGACAACTTTCAAGGGACTCTTAAAGCATTTACATCCATAAAGATGATCAAATGGATCATGATCCAAAAAAGTTGAAGCTTGCACTTTTTTTATGATGGTGTTCCTAGCATATGGTTTGGCTCCAATTTCTTTACCAGAAAATTTACTGTGGGGTGGTAATAATTTGCTGGATGCTATGTACGATCCCAACATTGTAAGGTTATATCCAGTGTATCTTATGAACTCTTGAGTTTGGAATCCTAAGTGAGTGTGCTGACAAGCCGGGTTCTTTGTGAAGTAGGCTAGGAAGACCAAAACTACTTTTGGCAATGTCAAGAGGTATGGTTGCAAAGTATGCTTCTATGTTACTGGCCAGCGAATCCTTTCTAAGATGCTAGTGATGAGGACTTCACAAAAGGCATCAGTTATTTACCTCTACAATCTTGACAAGCATTGCATGTATATCAAGCTTCCTGGCAAAGAACAACTTAAACAGGAGAAAAAGCATGGTAATTTCTTTTTTCTTTCATAATTTACTTTATACTAGACCACACATTTTGCAAGAGATGTAGTGCTGCAGCGACATTGTTTTGGAGGACATATGCATGAAGAGGGGTATTGGAAGACATAGGATTTTCACTCAGGATTTTGAGTCAAAATTTTATATAGCACCAATAATCAATGGCATACTTCTGTCACACATGTAAGATATAAAAGAACATATCACTCCAATCCCACTTTGTACTTTTCTTTTACACACAATTGCATTTCTATTTATTCCACTCATTGTGCAAAGCCTAATCATTTCCTACAACTTTCCCTTGGGATCAGAAGTGATATTTCTTTCTGGTCCATAGGAGATTTATCTTTCACTTTGGTCATGGCAACTAAAGCATGATGGGCATCTAGGCATGTTTAAGGATGCACTGCAAGCTGAGCAATTAAAAAAAGATGGCATGCAACTCATGAATGCTTGGGATGCTATCAAATCTGGTTGAGCTAGCTTTCAATCTACCAGCTGAGGCTTTGGAGCATTACTTTTGGCATGTTCCAGTTGGTGAGGTGGATGTCATCAGTGCAAGACCATATGTGGAACTCAATAATTTTGTTCAATATTTGTAAGCTAAAACCAGGCCCTCCAGCACAGTAGATGAAGTAAAAACTTCTTCAGAAACAATAAGAAAAATAACTAGTTGTACACCACACAACAAACTATACAAAATACTAAAATATTATACTATCATTCTTTTATGGAACAATACACTTCTTATTACTTGACTAAGTATAAACCTAGTAGTCCTAACTTAAAGAGGCCCCTCTTTAAGGATATATCTCCAATGTCTGTACCAAGCTTGAAATGTTTCTTGATTGTTACCTTAATATGCTGGCTGGAAGAAGTAGGATTGACTTTCAATAATGGAGATTGTTTAGGATTGGGTTTTGAGGGAGATCATTTAGGATCAGGTTTAGAGGGAAACTAATATTTTGGGATCTTAGTCTTCAATAGTGCACGTTGCTCAACTTACATTTGCTTCTTTGCTTTCGTTTTTTATCATATCTATTGAAATTGTAAAAAATCATGAACAATATAATTCTCTTCATGTCATATTTCTTGTTGGAAGCTTGAATTGTTGGTGTTTTGGGCAATTTCTGAGTGGGATTATACTGTTCTTCAATCCCCAGTGTTGCCAATGGAAAAGGGTGGAAAAACCCCTCCCTTCTTGGGAACTTGTTAGAGCTTTGGTATCATGACTAAAATCCTACAAAATACAGAATCCTCTACCCCACTCAACAAGTTTCTTATATAAATCCTGAGTCCTGACTGAAATTCTTATAAACTTATACTCAACTAGTATTCCAGTAATATGGAAAAACCTTGTTCACCAATACAGCATCTTGTTGTTCTTAAACTGTGATCCTAGCCCATCTGTCCATAGGAAAAGTCGTTGTGGTCTTAAATCCAAGCCCTTCAGCCAGTAAAAAAAGATCTGCATAGCAAATATGCATTGTGAGACCAATCATTGCTTAGAAAAACGTGAACTTTTTATTAGTGAACTTCCTTAGGAGTTTCTCCTGTCGGGGTTCTTGGTTTAAATTTCAGGAATAGACCTACATTAGAACAATGCTATGGTTTAAACAAGATAGTTTCTAGTACTGATCAAACAGCATGAGAAGATTAAGGTCAATTCAATCAATCAAGTTGTGCATATATATTTCAGTTGCTTCTTACATGTGAGTCCAAATCTAAGTTCCACAACATGGTGCCACATGTTAGCAATCCAATCCAGATGTCAAGGCAAATAAACCCAGTTATGAGATATTACATGAATGGGGTGAGGCCATTGATTTGCAGCATTGTGAATGTCCCCTTGTCATGGAGAGACTTATGCCAAAAAGCACTGATGGTGTAGTATTGAACTTTTTTTGCCTTAAATTGTATCATTTCTACTGAGAGCTTGTACGCGCATCTGTTGCCTACCAATGTACGCCGGTCAACATGCAAAAGTTGTCGTAGCTGCTGGTTCAACGCTTGAGTTTGGGAAGTAATACAGCCATAGCTATGACAGCATTCTTGCTGCGATGACCATCTGGATGGTCGCTGCTCTTCACAAGAATGCTGGAGCAGGCATTGAGAGCTGCTACGAAAGTTCAAGTCTTTGGAACGAGCTGTGTTTCTTCATCCGACAGAAGAGAGCAAAGAAAGTTCGGTCTGGTTGTAGCCAAGGATAATCAGATTCCATGACACCACGTCATCTAGATCGTGGAGAACGAGCCGATCGAACAGATGCTGTGAATCCGGCATGCTTCCACAACTCGAGTAGCAATCTAGCAGGCTGTTGGCAACAAAGAAATTGGATTCGAATCCTACAGCGGTGATAGAGCCATGGTCTCTCAAGAGAAACCACTTTAACGAGCAGCAAATCAATTTTCGTTGCATCTCTCGCAGCCAAATCCTTGGTCGCTTCTAGGGCAGCAACGTAGCTTCTAGCGTTGACCTCATGTTCTTAATCCATTCTAGAGAATATTTGGCACAGGATCTCGCCCTGGCCATGTTTGCATAGCTGCCGGCTGCGGTGCTGGATCTTGACGATCAATCCGCTGGAGCAATCGGGCGTGGATTTCTCAGTCGCAACGGAGATCCTTTGTGCGTCCACAAGATTTCAATGCAGCGACTATAGATGCGATTTCCAAGAGATTCGCTGCTCGGGCATTCTCCCCTTGAGGAGAAGAGATGAGGAGGCTCCAAGCTGCCAGGCTCGCCCGGCTCTCTGGTACGTCCAACATCATTCAATCTCTCTACTGTTGAGCACATTTGTCACCGATGATGGATTTGGATCACCAAGGATGCCTCTCCCTTGAGTTAGATAATTGAACCATTGCTTGTACAACCAGTTCTATTAACCTAGAAACGGGGGATAGATACGCTTGGTGGGGCTTCATATGGCAGCAAGTTGCAGCCGATCTAATTTTTATTTTTGACCATAGTGCAGGAGGTCTAAGCTCAGGAAGATATTTTGAGGATTTTCCATGCACATCTTGCATTAGGGGCTCTTTTCTTGGCACACAAGTTCTTGGCACACAATCATTGGGTCATAGTACACCTGAACTTTGTCCAGGTAGAATGCACACCACCTTTATTTAAAGTGGGCCCCATTTGCTTATTTGGATTTGCATGCCATGATGTATCCCCCTGTGAGAAAGAGGTTGAGCCCTCATACTTCTGCATCCAGATCACCAATACCATGCACCAAGTCGGTCCACCTGAAGAGCAAGATGGCCACAGGCCACTGCACACAAGGAAAAGAGGAAGTCCCCAACACAGAT